TCACCAGTTTTTTTTATGCCTGACACACCTTGGAGGGATAAATTGCTTCACATAGTCTGTATCAGTCATTTCCTTGGGCCCTTGACTCTTGCTGGGCTAACTTTTCTCTTTCTGGTCCTCTGGCCTTGAAAGAGTTAAAACTTGCAGGGAGCTTTAAGGCACCTGCAACATGGCCTGCAAGCCTCCCCTCACAGCCATTTTCAGTCTTCTGGTAGTTTATGTCTCAACTACAACAAAAAACACAGCCTTGGGGGGGGTGTGGATGGAGGAATACAAACTCAAATCTTACTCTCCGTGTCAATTCACCACACAGAAAAGGTTTTTTCATCCTTGTCCATGATGGTTCTCCTGGGAGCTTTCATCTTTTCCCAGGCAGAGCTAGAATGACCCCTCTGGCCTGAGCGCAAACCTTTTATAGTAGTAAACTGCTCTGCTTCCCACCAGTCCATCCTGCTGCTCAGCCCAAGCACAGGGGTTTCTCATTAGTCCTTTCAGTCCTGCCAACTGCCTCCCTTTTGCTGCAGTCTCGGCTTAGTTCCAGTCCACCTGTGGCAGGGCTGATGATGATTACAGGTATCCTGTCTCTTTTCCCTTTGCTGCCTCTCACACGGGGCTTCTTCCTAGTGGTAGTTTTCTCTGTTCTGCCAGCTGTATCTTTTTTTCTGAGCTTTTATTCCTTTGAACCATAAAAACTCTGCTCCTAAAAGGGCCTTCCAGCTTTTGTCAGACAGCCTTTTCCTAGTAACAGGGCAAGGGTTCCCTGTTACTGGGCTTATCTACACTGCCTCTGAACCTCACCTGGAAGTCCTGCCAAGATGCATGTCCTGTCTGCTTGCCCAAGCCCAGAAATGAAGCAGTGTTGCAAAGCACGCATCAATAAACGTAATGGAGACAGAGCCCGAGTGTTAATGTCACTTCCGTAAAAATAATTCAGTGTTCTTGGGTACACAGGTTTGTCAAGGTACATACAGGTGATCAGATCATTATGCGAGCTTTTTGCTATTCAAAGGCCAGCACATCTTACTCCCATTGACTTTGGCCCCAGAGCATTTACAAACAGCTTATAACTAACCATAAAAGGTAACAGTTCAAAAGTTATATTTAGGTAGCAAGTTGTGCAAGATCATTAACAATTCAGAAAAGTGGGACTAATTACAAGAAAAGACAGCATTTAACTACAAAATGGTAAATAGTATTTATCTGCAAAGATAACATAGTACTCATGTAAGGGATGAACAAGTGAACAATACACTGCTATTTATGGGAATTGGGATGGGGTGCATGGCTAGGAAGGGGTGAAGCACATGCACAGGTGGGTGGGTGGGTGGGTGGCATGGGGCTGGAGGAGCTGGGCATCCACAAAGAGTGCATTGCGTTCAGCTGCATCGCCTTGGGTGCATGGCCCACAGAGCTGGATGTGCCGCATGTCATCATTCTGGGGCTGGTGGGGCTGCACCAGGTGAGCAGGACGAGGCAGGAGTGGTGCAGCCTGGGATCCCCCCTGTGGGAGGCAGGGACAGCTAAGTACATTTTGACTGGAAGCTCAGCTCACAATTCAGGCTGGTTCCCTCTTGGCTATAGAAGGTCACATTTAAAAGGGCTGACAATTCTCCATCTGTTAAATTCAATGTAATTGGAATACATGGGTTTAACCATCATTAAAACTGCCATCTTCTGGTATCTGTGACCTGCACGTCTTGGCAAGCCTAACATACTTGGGAAGCTACAAAGTAAGTCAGCTGCTCCTTGCCAGACAGCATGGGGTTTCTGGCTGCAGCAGCCATCCAGATTCAGTTCTCCCTTCTTGCCCTATCACTATTCCTGAAAGGCCAACTGAAGCCTTCTGGCAAATCAGAACTAGGCTACAAGCCATATTCTGAGGATCACAAACTATGACAGGACTTGGGGGTTCTTGTTTGCCAACAAGGTGTGCCAACATTGCTTTGTTATATGTATCCCTTTCTACCTGGAACAGCATACACACCACAAATTCCTTTTACAAAAACACTCAACATTTCAAAAAATGTTTATTTACTTGAATTCACTTAAGAGATGAAATTCTCTGGATTGCACTACTAATCCCCTCACCCATCATGTGCATGTATGGATTTAATTCTAGTTGGTTAAAAGTCAAAATCAATATTTAAAGTGTTTTTAAACACAATATTTTTATTGTAGAACACTTCTTCCAGGAAACCACCAATGTCCAACTACTTTTAGTCCCATAAAGGAAATTCCACTGCAAACTCAAGAGATGTTTATCAGGCACAAAATCAAAAGTAGCCAATTTGTGCGAGAAGAAAATAAATTATTCAATTTCCTTTTTATCCTCCATGTCCTGTCCTTTTCTCCCTAGGGTTTTGATGCTAACCTGTATGAGAGATGTGCAAGATTCCATTACCTGAGAATGTAGAATACCACATAGCAAGCAGCACAGCAGATATCTAGATACAAGCCCCAAGACACTTGTTAAATGACATTGTCATTTCCAAAGTAATGACCTCTGGGTCACAATACATTAGCTTAAAATTGTGGAAATGACTTTACATAATACCTTAGTCCCTGATTCTACAGACTTTCTCACATCCTTATACTTACCTTGAGGGTAGTGTTAAAGTTAAGCAGGTACTTCAGTCTTTGCAGGCTTGGACACTTAGATTTCAGTAATTTCACTTCAGAATTCAAGTAACTGCTCAGCCTGGTATAGGTAACTTGCAAATGCAACCATTTGCAAATGAGGTGAAATTAGCTGTGGTTGTTAGATCAGCATTTTGTAAATTGCATGTGCAAATAACGAAGGCAACCAGTGGTGCCCCTCTCCCCCCACATTTCAGATACCCTTGAATCTTCCTACTTAGACACAGCCCAGCCCTGGGCCAGGAGAGGCTCCCAGCCCAGAGCCCTGGGGTTAGCCTGAGGCCGGTCCCTAGTGGCAGGGCAGACCTGGGAGTAAACTTGCTCCCAAGTTGTGTCTACATATTCGTAACTGAGCAGTAGCTAATCCTATGTAAATTTGCTACCTGCATTTATGTGGGATTAACGGTTTTTACGGTGCAGTAAATGCGCACATGTATAGACGTGAGTGCTTACTGTGCAGTAAACTAGACTACTGCACATTTAGGCTTCTCGCATAGACACACCCACTGTATTGCTTGCTGGACTTTGCTGCTCCAGCTGGGAACAAAACATGCCCCCTTCACAATCCCCACATTATGCTGCAGAGAAACACAGGCTGACCATGGGCAGCTTGGGTTAGCCAATCAGGGCTGTCTTATGAACTGCTGCCATCTGTTGCCAGGCTGACTAATGGAGCCTGCAAAGCATGCTGAGATGTATGCACAGACCTCTTCCACTTTCCCTACCCCAGCTGCACAGGATCAGTTCTGCAAACTCTCTACTCTTCAGGGTCTCAGCATTTGAATGCCTATACACACAGCTCTGGGTCATTTTTTCTACCAGGAGAACACAGCTGGGAGAATTCTCCCAGATTATTTGAATGCATGTACATAGCTTATGCCCCTTTCAGCATTAACTAGTCTTCTAACTACTTTAACTGAAAATAAGGGCAATTATTAATAGAACAGGACTAGAAATGTGAAACTGTCTCAGGTAATTATGCCCGATTACTAGATTTTCCTTTAATATTTAGTCGCTTAACTATATATTACATTTTCCTTTCAAACTGAGACAATCATTATAATTCTTTTTAAACAATGTTTTTAACAAAAGTGTTCTTCCATTTTCTACATAGTCAACTTTAAAAAATATGCCAAGTTGTACTTTAAAAGTAACCCTTAAAAGTTCACTTTGAAAGGTGCAGGAGCAAGTTTGTCAGACTTACTTCAGATTAATGAATGAAAACATACCAAAGAGTTATTCTACATTAGAAACTGAATTGTACTATGTGACTTAGGAGCCAACATTTATAATTTATATTTATGCTTTAGGAAAGTCACATTTCACAATTTTTCTCAGAGATCCTCTGAAAAGCAAGTACCTTTTTTTGCTCTTTTCTCCTCTCAATTTCTATTTACCCCATAGTTGAAAGGGACTTGTTAGGACTCTCTTTGTAGTCCCCTGCAACAAGGCAAATAAGAGGAATCAATACAAAGAGACAAAGTTCCATGTTGCAGCAGCCTGACTGGTACTGGGACCCAACCTAACTAGTCTAAATCTAACCCAGATATCTCTACAGTACACTACACTGCAGACACTGCTGTGACAGACAGACAAGAGGCAGGAGAAAAATAATACAAACTGAACAAACAAGATGAGGCAACATATGGTAGGTTAATGCCAAGATCTCATATCAGATATTCATCTTACTCTATACATTTTTTCATAACTTTTTGCTATTGTCAGCTGAATGTATGAATACTTTATTTCTGAAAAGTTAGTATACACAGACCTAAAATATACATATCTTCATGCACACTATCCATTTAAGTCAGACCATACAGCACTGATAAATTCAGTTTAATTAGCCTTCCTTATGTCAATGAAAGCTCTACAGATCATGAATCTACAATGAAAGCTTTTTTCCTAAAATTGAATTAGACCCATGAAGTTGGTAAATAAAATATTATTACACATATACTGATATATAATTATTAGCAAGTCTTTGAGACACACTGGCTCTACAAGGTGCACTGGAAGTAATCTTGAAGTCAAACAGGAGACTTGTAGTCAAGCAGACTTGCTGATGGTTGTCTGAGTCTGGGTTTTTAATTCTTATGTTTAGGTCAGCACTGTTTCACAGTAGCCTAAGCAAACATTTCTAATGTCATAACTTATATCCTGAGGAAGCAATACCTTATGGAGATGGTAGCATTTTAACTATCAATTTTCTTTCAACAATATCTATCCCATTATTACACTTAAGGCAACAGCAATCACAACAAACATAGAATGGCAGAAATGAAAATGAGAATTGTATAATTGCCACAAATGAAAAATAAAATTGATGCCCTTTATTTAAAGATTTGTTTTTCATTACTCACCAACTGACAGCCTTCCAGGGAGTTTACCAGCTGAGCATTCTGACAAGAGAGAATGGAACCAGCCAAGTTCAGCATTACACACACTGCTGATAATAGCATGAAAAAGGTTATCTGGAAAGAAACCAAACAGTCCATTGATTATTCAATGCAAGAGGTGAAAGAAGAAATTTCAGTTAGCCTTTCAAGTGCTTCCAGCTTGTCAAATAATTACATGAATGGCAAGATTTAATACATTTTAAACAAAATATTGGAACATTTTATAGTGTTTCAATATTATAAGATCTTGGTTCTTATCCTACTAGAAAGGCAACATCAACACTAGTCTTTGGCTACTATTATTTTCCTTCATTCCCTTGAAGATTGCCCACTTCAACTTCTAAGAGTAGAAAGAGGTAGTCAGCCATGTTAGTCAGGCAGAAGGAAGTGCAGGATAGGTACTTGAACTTCTACTACTAACCTAGTCAGCGACTTACGTCTGTAAACCAAATGGTAGGAACTGAGACACTGAAAATAAAATGAAACTCTAAAGAGCATTAACAGTAAAAAAAATCAAAATTAGTAACATTTATTTTATTAAACTAAGTTGCAATTAGTAAAATAGGTCAAAGTTATTCATAATAAAACATGTCAAGTAGAGTGTCAGGGACTGATATATGTACATACCTAACAAAAGAGAGTATTTAACAGTTTTCTTATATTGACTGTCTCCTTATGTCATTACTTTCACTTCTTGTTTTTGAACACAACAATAAATTTATACAAAAATATTTCGACATTTATATTTTTAAAACCCTTATCAGAAAGCTGACCATTTTTCCAGAAAGGGTGTGTGTCTGTGAAGTGAGGAAATACAGAAATGAAGAGGCAGAGGAAATATGTAATTCAATTATTATCTTTATATATTATACCCTTTTTGACTATTGCTGAACTACAAGATTATCAAGTCCTTATCAAAAGTGTCCCAAATTATTGCAGTTCTTCTGTTGTGTGATTGCAACAACTGTTGTAGCATTTAATTTTTTTTTCTGGCATGGTTCTCACAAAATACATAGTCTTCCATTACTATATGTTTTATTAATATATTTTTCAATAATCTATGTTAGGAGCTAGTGCATGAGTCTAGACTTAGGATCCCATGGGGTTTTATTTTCTTATAAAGAGCAAAAAGAGTAACTTCCTTTTTAAATACCTTAATTCTTTTTAACAGATCTAACTCCCAATACCTATCTATGTCCTGTTCAAGTTGAATAAACTGGTATACATTTCCAAAAAAAATTTCCATCAGGAATTCCCTGGCATTTCATACAGACATTGTGAGCAATAACATGCAGTTTTTGCACAGATGGAGAAGCACATATCTGTATAAAACTCATAGCACATTCTTTTCTCTTTTACCATATAACACCTTCATCTATTTAAGCATTGTCCATCCCTAAACAAAATCCTCCAACTTAAAGTGATTTCCCCAAAGGTATCATATTCACCTGAACCCAAGATGACTTTGAATTTAAGATGACCCCCCCAATAATTACATTCTATATGCAGAAAAATACAAATGTTATAATTTTCCATGCACCAAATCTAATTATTGGAAGGTTGTCTTAAAATCTGCCCTCTCAAATCAGCAGTGGGGGACAAGAGACCAGACCCCTTGCCCACCGTGCCTGTGCTTGCTCTGCTGCCTCCTGTCTCCCCTGCCACTTACCCCCCCAGTGTCTGACTGCTGCCTCTTGTCCCCCTGTACCTGTGTCTGCCCCCTCTGCCTCCAGTCCCCCAACCCCACCCCTGGCACTACCCTGCCATTTACCTTCTGGGCAGCTCTGGGTCTGAGGTAGTCAGCATCAGTGGCGACAGGCCTGGTCTGGTCAAGGGAAAGCACCAGTGGCAGCTCCAGGCCCTGCTGAGTCAGGGGCAGGGGCAGGAGCCAGAGTTGAAGATAAGCAGCTGGGGAGGGGGGCAAGTTGCGCAGTCTTCCTGATACACTCCCCCCCCCCCCCCCCTCCCCTCCCCCGCCCTTCCCTTAACGCCGTCCACCACCCTCCCCTCCCCTCCCCTCCCCTGCCCTGTCATGCACCAGCTCCCCCACCACATGAGCCTGGGGGCAAAGTCAGAGCTGAACCATCATACCTGCCCTGGGCCAGTGCTCGAATCTAAGACATGTCTCCCCGCCCCCTCCACCCCCCCCATGGTGACTGGTAAATACAGTAAATACTCCTTTATTTAGTCCAGATATGAAAAGACTATGATTTTTTATTTTTGATTATGGGTCTAGCATGCAATTAAATAATGAGATAAGCTTGATCTTTTTATGTATTATTTCTGTTGATGATGCATTTGCCCCATTCTTATTCTATAGCCTCCTGCATCTCTAAAAATCTGGTCGTGTTAGGTCTCCCATCACCACTTGGCATACCAATCATTTCATTTTGATTGTTGCTTTACATATATTCCCCAAATTCCTTCCATGATTTCAAACTTTTGTACTAGTGGTTTAATAATTAAACCATAAAATAATGATAGAAAAGGAAATCTTTGTTTTATGTCTCTGTGCAGTGGTTAGGTTTAGGTTTATTAACACTTCTCCAGAAACACATTGAAGGCCTTTTTTTAGAGAATTTTTTGATCCACTACTAAAAATATCCCTCAAGATGACATTTCTCCATCACTCTGAATGGAAATGGGCAGTCTACCAAGTTCCAATCCTTTCCTGTATGAAAAAGACAGAATACAGGCCTCTTTATTAGTATTTCTGGTATGCTCTGCAAAACACAGAAGTATTCTTATATTTCTTCCTTTAATGAAGGCAGAAAGCAAGGTAGAGGCACACCTTATAGACTAACTAAAGCACGGTGCATAAGCTTTGGTAAGCAGCGGCTTACTTCATTGGATGCTGTGAAGGGACTGAAGGAAGCAGAACTACTAAATAGAAAACAGTGATTAGAATACAAAAGGTAGGGAAGGAGGAAGAAAAAGAAGGGAGAACAGCAGGCAGAAACAAGGTAGGTAGAAGAGGGAAAAACAGAGTAGCTATAACCCATGGGGGCACACAGGGGGTTATGAAAGCTAATCCAGGTAATCGGCTAAAAATCCATAGTCTTGGTTTAGATCATACATAATATAATCCAGTCTGTGGGTGACTTCTTATTCTGCAATTTCCTATGCAAGTCTGTTTTTAAAATGTTGTTGTCTAAGAACAGCCACCAGACATCAGAGATGGACTGACCAGTGAGGTTAAAGTTTCTGCCATAGGCTTGTGTGAAATTGCCATCTCTATTTCTTCCTGCATCTTCTATAATATCCTGTAATATATTAATTCCTAGGTATTCTGTGTTTGCATATCTGCCACTGCATATCCCTTGGAAATATTCTGCTAATATTTTGAAACACTTCAGGATTTTTTTTTAATATCTCACTTTTCTTTGTAAAGTATGGGATGCCTGTTTCAGGTATTAAAATTAGAAAGCAATCTAGCGAATAAATTAGAAAGTAATCTAGCTACCTCTGACATGTAGGCAGAACCTTTATATGGCAAATGAGAGATGTCTGGGTTTTTCCTGTTATCAATGCTATTTTTATATTCTTAATATATGAAAGCACGGCTGTCTTGTTAAATATTGGTATCTTGCTTCTTCAAACCACATATTCATTCATTTGCCTATTTTTGCTTCTCATTTTTCTCCCCTTATTACTATCACATGAATAATGTGTCCTGTTATTTCTATTTTAAAAGCCTCCCATCCAGTTCTCAAGGCCCTGTCTTGTAAGAGATTGTCAATATGGCTTATGTCAAGGAATGATTTTTTTACATTTTATTCACAAAGTCTTTCTCTGTTAGTACTACTAGTACTAGGCACCTGTCTGTCTCATGAGATACCAGCTCACTGAATGTAATACTTGCTTGAAAGAAAGTGAAGCTGAGGTGACCTCTCCAGGACACAAAGGCCTGGGCAGTGCATGTGGAGACACTGAGCTCCCCGCACACCAGTGGCACCTTCTCACCCTTGCTGGTTTAATCCAAAGGAAAGGCAGGTTCCAATACATTTGAAATTAGATTGGCCACAGGAGATGCCAGAGCAAAGGAGATCATCCATTTATCCGTCTTTCAGGGCTCTACTCCTAGACTAGCTGCCAACCAGGGTTAAAGAGCTCAGACTACCCTATCATGGAGTAATATGCTACTAAATCACCTACTTTCTCTTCATCTTCATTAGATTCTATTTTTACAAAAACAGGAATATTGTCAGAGATATGTATTATTCTAACTCTAATATTAAGGTTTAATTAAATCTAGTACGTATTTGGGCAGTTTCAGGGGGGGAAAAAAGGTAAAATCCCTTCCATTATGGTACAGAAACCACCCAAAATAGCCCTCATGTCCTATTCTTCATATGCTGATTACAGCATTTGAGCTGTTTTACATGAAGCTTACCTAAACAATATTTTATTTAACATGTTTGACATCATTACTCAAAAATTCTGATCACTGCAATCATTCAAAAATGTTGGTGGTTATCTGCCTAATATTATAGCAGGTGACCCCTACTTACATAAATAGCAAAAATCCACCTGTCCTCTTTGAGTAAAAACAGACATCATATTTGAGTGGGTTTTGATTGATCTGAGTCAAAACCTAGGAGTGGCATAGCCACTTTCAGCTTGTCCCTGGAATAAAGGGCAATTAACTCAAATTAGCCGGATTTGTCCCAAGAGCAAAAGTGTAATCTTAGATACTTCACAGGTACTTAAAATGGGACAAGAAGCTTGGTTTGTAGGCCTGTAGAATCCCAAGGTAAAAGGCTTTGTCCCAGGAGAAATCCAATCATAAGCTACTGGTAGGGGGTACACATAGGTGCATGTGTCCCCCCTGATGGGGTCGGTGCCCCCCCCAATGGCCAACACTGATGCTGTTGGTAGGTCTGATGCCCCCCCCAACAAGGCCACCACAGTCAGCAGCTTCTATGAGGGTGCTCCCCCAGAATCAGGAGGCACCAGTCACCCATGAATCCAACATCTGTTTTAACCAATGATATGTTTTAACCAATCCAACATCTATTTTAACCACTTTGACCCTTTACATTTCCATACCATTTGTTTGTTAGTATAGACATCAT